CACTTTCCATGCCGTTTCTGTGACATATGAAGAATGAGACATGGCCGTCTCATTGAATAATTGCGTTGATGCTTGTGGCTAAGTACGCTCATGATCTCTCAAATTAAGCTGACGGATTGTGGCAGCGCATGGGAAAAAACAGATTTGGGATGTCAGGGTAGAGGCACTATACGGCCATCAGACGACCAGTTTCCATAACAAATGTGACAGAAAACTCGTAAAATTATGATAATGATTGGGTAGCGTAATAAAATCTGGATGTGTGTGAAATCATCTTTTGAAATGTTATGCTGAACCGTTGGCTGTCTGCAACTTTGGAAGACGGTGGAAAAGGGAAAGATGAGGCATGAGCAACGCTGTTTTACTTTTATTTTCCGATAAGAAAAGAAATTGTAAGAATGTAAAATTCCTTCCTCTGTGAGGAAAATTAGAATGTCATTGAATGTTTTCAATATAGTGTGTACGGAGCCTTCTGTCCTCCTTTCAATAACAGGCAGACATAAGAACAATTTCAATGAGTCACACATATATGTTGTGAATGACTCTCAGCTACTACCAAGCCACTAATTAGCTCAATGTCTGTGAAACTCACTAAATTATAGTCATTTAGGTGTTCTGTAATGTGAGTGGGCTGTGGCAGCCATCTTGAATTAGACTCCAAAAGTTAATCAGTTGTAGATATGCATACATTGGTTCAAGAAATATTTTGCTAACATGCATACACATGAAAGCACAGATGCAGGGAAAGACACTAAAAAATCACATATGTCATTGTTTTGCATCAAATTCTCACATTACTATAAAATCCAAAATATTAACGAGACAAAGTGCTTTGCTTATCAAAAGTTTATGTTAATAATATAATGTATTAGCCGATATTTTGTATTTAAAACATGTGAGGTTCATTTATGTTCCTAAACAAATTCTGCACAAAGAACATCACTGGTGGATCCAATGAAAGGTAAATAAGGTTTGCCATAAGAAATATTGTTTTCTACATGAACACTGCAAATGCACGACTGAACTATTTCTGCATTGAAACATTCACGTAACCCTAATATCACAAGATCTAACTTGCAGATCTGCAAACTGCAGAAATTAGGTACGCAACATCTTTAGATACAAACAGGCTGAGTTTCTCCAAGAAGATATGCAAACGCTGACATCACTTCACAAAAAAAAAAGTTTAATCTGCGAAAAGACTAATTTGGTCAAACGGTTCGGGGGGGGGGGGGGGGGGCAACTGCAGGTTTCTGGAGCCTGTTGGACACTCATTCCTGCTCGCATCGATTGAGGGTGCATGAGCTGGAGTGGGTGGTATTGGAATAGTGTGTGTGGGTGTGTGTGGGAGTGTGTGTATTATGGCTTTGGCAGGTACAACAGACCTGAGGGGGAAAACAAGCAGGAGTGCTCGCCTTTTTTTCAACCTTCACCCGATTAAAGGGAATGAAAAATCCATGAGCGCTCATTACAGGGGTCTACAGGTGGCTAATGAGCTGATATTTAAAACTTGTTACAAGTCGGTCCTCTCCCTCTCCTCACTTTTTGCTTTTCTTCCTTCCGTCTCTGGCTTCCCTCCAGGACAGAGCTCCTGTGTGGTGGCAGAAATGCTTCGTCTCAGCAAACTGTGAGCCAGGAACATGCAACACATCGGCTCCAGACTGCATTTCCCTAATGCCCATTTCCCCAACCAGAAGCACACATTCAAGATAAATAACCTCAATTAAATTCACTAAATATAGTTTTTTTTAGGTTATATATGACTCCAATGCACAGTTTTGCTCGTGTCTCTTACTTTGTACGGTTCACTGTTCCACGTTCTATGGCCTTGGGTAGGTGTGGCGAATTCCACTAGATGTCCTCATTAAAAATCTCCTCACTTTTTTTAACCACTGTGTGATACAAAAAAAAAAGGCAATCACAACAAGTCAACAGCTCGTCTTTCACGCCAGCCAAAGCTCCACGGGCAGAAGCTGCAGCCAGGTAGATTGCCTGTGGACCATAACCACTTTAGTTGCAGTGCAGAAAATATTACCTTGATAATCTCCAGCAAGAGGCAATTCAGCAGGAAATGGTTCCCTGTGCTGGCTTGTGTATATATATATATATATATATATATATATATATATATAGTCGGGGCTGAGTCTAGCTCATAATTCAGTGTGGTCATTGGCACTATTCATCGTCTGTCTGCTCAGGCAGGGCACTGGCTAAATGACAGTGAAAGCCGCAGTGGCACTTCCACCACTGCTTTACGACTGGCAGAGACCCCGGGGCTCTATGACTGGAGTGCTGAGTGAGAACATGGCTGCCAATCACTTGATATTAATCTCCCTGTGACCAACGACAGATAGCCGACATAAAGGGGGAAACATGAAGAAGGGAGGAGAAGAGGGGGGGAACTAGGAAACGGACCCAGCTGGTGCAAGGCTGACAACAATTAGCTATGTGTTTGGTGTCACACACCTGCACACACATGTGAAGGTCAGTTTCACTCAATACTCTGCACCGTGCAACATAATTTGTTCAGACATGAACAAATTGTTTGTTCATAATTTGTTCAGACATGACCGTTCTGAGCATCTCACCTTGATGAAATCCTTGGAGCAAATGGTTCATTGAGATGGGGTGGAAGATGGGCAGCCGACCGGGGACCAGAAAGTCGCGGTTCGACTCCCAGCCATTCCCACATGTTGTGGTGTCTCTGAGCAAGACATCCAATCCTCAATTGCTCCCCGGGTGCCTACATAGCTGCCCACTGCTCCATCTGAGTGTATCTCATGTGCGATGGGTTAAATGCAGAGAACTGATTTTGCCATTGTATGGGAACATACATTGATGACAATCTCAGACTTCCCTTCCCTCCCCCAAAGGAATAGCTTACCACTGCATGTCAGGCAGGCTCCCTCTCTTACTGTTTTTAAGTCTCATTTAAAAACTCACTTTTGTTCCCTGGCTTTCTACCCTGTATGAGTTGATTTTAACTTCTCTGTATTTTATAATATTTTACACTTGTTTTTTTTTTTTTTTTTTTTTTTTTTTTTTTTGGTAAAACACTTGGGCAGCGCCGTGGCACAACTGGTAGAGCTGCTGCCTCTCAGCGAGCAGGTCCTTGGTTCAAACCCCGGTCCAGGGGCCTTTCTGGGTGGAGTTTGCATGTTCTCTCCGTGCATGCGTGGGTTTTTTCCGGGTACTCCGGTTTCCTCACACAGACCAAAGACATGCATGTTAGGCTGATTGGTAACTCTAAATTGTCCCTAGGTGTGAGTGAGAGAGTGAATGGTTGTTTGTCTCGTTTGTCTCTATGTGTCCCTGTGATGGACTTGCGACCCGCGTCCAGGGTGTACCCCGCCCCTCGCACAGTGATTGCTGGACATGGGCACCGGCGACCCCCGTGACCCAAAATGGAATAAACGGGTAAAGATAATGGATGGATGGATTGCATATTGCCTGTTTCATTTCATTCCAGGGTTTTAGACTAAGATTATCTTATTATTATCTTATTATCTTATCTTAGAGACAGCACGGTGGCACAACTGGTAGAGCTGCTGCCTCTCAGCGAGCAGGTCCCCGGCTCAAATCCCAGTCCGGAGGCCTTTCTGGGTGGAGTTTGCATGTTCTCTCCGTGCATGTGTGGGTTTTCTCCGTGTACTCCGGTTTCCTCCCACAGAACAAAAACACGCATGTTAGGCTGATTGGTAACTCTAAATTGTCCCTAGGTGTGAGTGAGAGAGTGAATGGTTGTTTGTCTCGTTTGTCTCTATGTGGCCCTGTGATGGACTTGCGACCCATCCAGGGTGTACCCCGCCCCTCGCACAGTGCTGGACATGCTTGCAATATACATTTTTTAGCTGAGTTTGAGTAGCAGTGGTGGTTACTTTAATTGAGCTAGCATGTTTTAATCAGTTGTAATCATCCAGTAATTACTTCGAGACTTTTTTTCCTTGTTGTAAAATGATGTGTCATTTATTTTCTGTATTTTTAACAAAGTCCATTAATTACTTGCCTCCATTTCGAGATTCCATATTTCATTTTTTAGATGATTTAAAAAGGTTCCAATCACACTCCTTGCACTTCCATTAACTTTCAAACATGCTTTACACGTTCTAGAGCACTCCTTACATGTGGATTTTTTTTTTTTAATTTTTCCAGACAAATAGAATTGAACTGTACAATGTGTAGCTCTCTGATTAGCCTAGCTGTTGGGAATTATGCTCAACTATGAAATTTTAGCTCAGTATCTGTAAAAGTGGATAAGTTATAGTCATTTTGTAATTTTTCTTACAGTCAGTTGGCTGTGGTGGCCATCTTAAATTATCCAAAAGTTGTTTGTATATGCCCCATAATTATTTTCTGACAGTCTTGTTAAAATTTAACCAGTTCATGAGATACTTTGCTAACAAGGCTGACTTTAATACTTTATCTTTTTGCTATTGTTGGATGTAACAAGACCCAGTGTACACAATTTTGTTCCACCTCATGTACCACATGTGATGAAATGACAATAAAACGTACTTGAACTTGACTTGAACTTAATAGTTAAGATTATTGCAAACATGCTATGGCATAAATGTTTATTTCTTCTGATATTACTGATTTCGCTTTTTTTTTTTTCTTCATTTAACCTTTATTTATACAAGTTCGTGTACTGAGTCAAGAAGACTCATTTTCAAAAGAGACCTGTTATTTGTTGTTTGTTTTTTTCTTTATTTTCAATCTCCCTGGCTAATATTTGTTCTTGTTTTTTTTATATGCCTTTTGATCTTCACAAACCACATGCTAAGATTGTTACTTCACGTTTGCAGCTCAATATTTAATGCTTGTAATGTCTGTTTTTATAAATAAAGTTTTCTGGGGGGAAAAAAATCTTTACTTCACTGCGCACTTTGCGTAGACTTACGCAGCCGTAAGTCTACGCAAAGTGCGTGCCTGACTCTTTCAAAGCTTTTTCGAAGAGTACGTAAACAACGTTAGTGAATAGCTAACCTTTCGTCGACTGACTTTTTTTTTTTGGTACCGAGCGGAGAGGAGATGCACACGGCACTCGAGTGAGGTAACTATTTAAAAAAAAAAACATTTGTTTTCATTCACTCCCACAACATGGATTCTTGTTAACGCTTGTTACATGTTAAGAGTTTAAACACGGCCCGTATTATTTGTAACGTAGCCTCTTAGACCATCAAACGTCGTAGACGGCAAGCTAATTTCCTGTGATTCCTCTGCTAGCTCGCGTTAGCTGCTTTAATTGTCCGTTTTAAAGGTTAGCGTTAGCATGCCGGAATGACTCAAAACAAAGAGAAGGGCTGCCTGACTGAAAAATGTCAATCTTGGTAGCTCATTATCGGATACTGGAGGCATGTTTATGCGGTTTCGTGATTAAAGTTGGTAGTTTCTACGCGTTAAAGTCACGCTTCAGTGACGCGGAAGAGATCACGCAGCTTGCTGTTACCGCAGCACGTGCATCGTCCAGCCCCTTTTCTCGTGGATGGATGGATTATTGGTGGGAAGTGTCATGTCTCTGAACGGATTCGCTTTTTACGAACTTGCTTCGAGCTAAGATTCACTTGAAGCAGCATCTCTTTTGCTGTGTGTGTCTCCCACCTTACCGGGAGGACGCTGCACGCTGGGACACCCACAGATCGCACACCATACTTGGTGGCGGACATTTTGAGGGACTAACTCATGAAGGCACTGCAAGTTCCATATCAACTATGATTATTTATATAAAAAAATATTAGTTCATACAGATTTTTCACCAGCTATGTCATATGTTTACTTTGATCAACGTCATGCAGACATTAAAATAAGATTTGTGCAAAAATATTTTGTAAGTGACAAATTATTTTAATTTGCCTTTGCTTCCAAATCCTATGGGGTACCTCCTTTTTTGGGCTCAAGTGCTGGACACTTGTGAATATCACCTTGATTTCTCTACATTCATGTAAAATAGCATTTTACAGCAAAATAAAATATGTGAATCTGAAACTAATCAAATGTATATTTTTTTTTACTCATCGTGGCCATCACAAAACCGCATTCATTGATTTGCACAGACTAAAATGAAATGACTAATCTTAGAAATTTTAAACAAAAAAAATGCAAATATGTAACTAAAATGGCCACAAATAGGTCTGGAAGTCCCAAAATTTAAAAAAGGCTGTAAATTAAATAAAACAATTAGTTTATGGTTTATAAAATTTAATAATTTTACTATTGTGGTGCAGCAATGTTTTATGCCAAATAAACCATGTAACAAATTAAAAAATTATTTTGCTATTGCATTGAATTTACATTAGGTGGAAGATGTTTAACACTTTTAACACTTGATAGCTTAACATTTATCCATAAGACTTATTATACGGATGTAAATGTTACTGTGCTTTTTTTTTTTTTTTAAAGGAAGCAACATGACATGCTAATTTTACATCTAAAATGTACCTAATGTCATCATCTCCATTACAGGAGGGGATTTCATGATCACAGATTATTTATGCGTTCTCACAAAACAGTTCCATGAAATAGCCTTAAAGCCCTGTATGTCTATGCTGCCTCTGTCCCTTCATAAATTCCTGATAGAGCCGACCACCATTTGTATCTTATTTAAAACATGATAAATTAACTCGGTTTAGTGTTTCTCTCTCAGGTTAATTTTTTTAAGTAAATGCAATATTGCTGTGCGTTATCATCGATCCCTCTTTAATAAACTTGTTTGTGGTTTAATTCTACAACCGGGTGCTCACACAGACACATCACAATACTGACACGTAAAGCCAGCTTATCTTTTCACATGGCCACTGTTTTCAGCTCTGTTACTACCTCGCTTCGCAGCACAAAGGTGCATCAAGGGTAGTAGACTGATCGCCCTTGCTGACTCGGTCCATTCAGAAATCACACCAAGGGTCTAAGTCCCAGCTTAAAGTGTTTTGTATTAAAATGTGTCCTCTTCACTGACCTGAGTTTAGATGGGTGTAGCTTCTTATGACATCAGTTATCAGTAGGGGTGCACCGATACATCGGCCCGATTTCCTTAATTTTGGTAAATCGGAGATCGGCCGATACTTGCATGAGAAACCGATTTTACCAGAGTATTTTTTTTTTTCTAGTTTTGACAATTGGCTAAACTTCATTTATATTTGAGAGCACTGCCTCCTGGTCAGTTAAAACAAGTCCGTATTCTTTCTAGGATATTGTTCGAGGGTATGTTGTTTTTTTTTTTTTTTATAAAATCAAATTGGAAAATTGAAAGTGCATTGTGACCTTATAACACCTGACAGTGTCGCTTATAAAACAAAATCAGTATTGGCCAAAATCGGAATCAGTCAGCCAGAAAACTGCAATCGGTGCCCCACTAATGATTAGCTAGTTATCATTTTTTATTTTGCCCAGAGGTGGCAAACTTTTTGATCTCATAGTGTTGTATTACCTACTTAAAGCAACGTGTTTTAAAAAAAACCTGAAAGCTGACACATTGAAAACAGAGGGGGAGAGACAGATGCACATCTGAGCCATGCGCTGTTTGTACCGACAGTTTTCGATCGGCGGGGGTGCGTTCAGCGTGGGGGTTCAACATGAAGGAAGAGGCTGCCTTTAGCTTTTAGCTTCTTAGCTTCTTAGCTTCTTAGCGGTAGACGGGGCGGGACGCCCCGCTTGTATAATGGTAGGGGAAACACTGAAGAGCAACATAGCTTGTAAAATGTTATTTTAGTGGTCTGAAAAAGTTAAGTCAGGTCCTCTGGACGGCTTCAAAAACAGTTGTAGAAACGTTTCGTCTTTTGGATGAAAGACAAAACGTTTCTGCAATTTTGTTTTTGTTGTTTGTTGAACCCGTCCAGAGGACCTGACTTCACTTTTTTAGATTTTTCTACTTGGATTATTGAGCATACATCAGGGTATTATTTTAGTGGATTAATATGTATAATATTTAATATTCAAATGTGCTAATTTAAGTGTTTTTCTTGTAAGCTTGCATATTAAAACATCAAAACTACTGATGTTACAAACCAGCCAACTATGAAATAGATTATTTTATTCTAGACCCCTGATCAAGATGATTGTTTTAGTCTTTGTTTTCAGCAGTCTCACAACTCAGTAAAGTGTGGTTTTTAGTATAGTTTTCATTCAACAAATTTAAGTTTTGACACCGTTGAAAGAAATTGTGGAGTGAATTTATATTATGTGAACCACCTCTGGTCTTCTGGTTGTACTTTGTGTGTGGTGTCAAATAAGAAAAATAATTGGTGTAAAAACGCAGTAAATTGAAACAGACCTCAGTTGTGCAAATGAGAAAATAAATGGCGGTATATTATTTTCATAATTTTACTTAATAATAACTTGCTTAGTATTTTTTTTTAAATATATTTCCAGTCTGATATTATTTTGATTTAAAAAAAATCAGCAGCCTGCATGGGTCTAATGACACCAAGTCAGTGCGTTTGTCAGTGATGGATAAATTTTAGCTCTGAGGTATGAAAATCATAGAAGTGTGAAGATTTTAAAGCACTGAGCGTGTGAACCAACAGCTGTACGCACACGGTTGCACAGCTGCTTTGAAAACGTGTGGGAGTCTTTCTGTATTTTAGCAAAAATACGTGTTTTAAGCCTGTTCTGTCTTGATTTTGTATAACCAGGTGCATGAATTTGGGGACGTAGCTTGTGAATTCGTGTCTGTTTTAGTTTATAGTAAACAAATAATGAAATGGGGGGGGGAAACACATTAATAAATGTGCGTTATAAAATGACCAGAAAACTGCAGCACAAAATGGATCACCTGTGCCTTTATTAATAGCTGTATTTGTTTTCTTTATTGAGATAACATTTTAGTTGTTTTTCTAAATAGTTTTAAAAGAAGAATGTTGATTATAAAGCATATTATAAACAAAAAACTAATTATGAATGAAAATGGGTGGAAATGCATTTATTCTGTTTTATGCCTGATTGCAATTTAAATAGAACAATCACTTCCTCCTGTGGTTGATGATGACATATGATTTTAATAAAGCTTTCATGGGGATAAAAGTTCATGAATTATTGCGATCAAATAATTTCCTTTTTTTGTTTTGTTTTGTTTGTCCTTTAATCTAATTGGGAGTTTAATTAAATGTATTGTAAATAATAATTGCATGGAGATTACCATTAGAACATTGAAGTAATTTGAAATGTTTTGGTTAGTGTGAATAAAAAAAGGCTAAATTGGAAATACTTTATTCTGGTTTTTCTGTTGAAGCGATTTGGTTGGTGTGATGTGCGGATGGTTTTTTTAGATTGCATTTAATGTTGGCTTTTACTAACAACACCTCATCGCTTGAATTTGGTAATAAAATCATGTAAAAGTGCTTGCAGCAGTGCTGTAAACTTTGGTTTTTGCATTTAGATGGATGGCTTTAGTGTCAATATATTCTCATAAAAAATTCAGTTGCTTGAATATTAGAAGATAAGGAGAACAATATAAACCATTGACCCATTAAATAGTTTCCCACAAGGAAGGAAAAAAAAAATAACAAGATTAAAACGGGAATAAACTCAAAATTATATGAAATTCAAACACATGCACATGTTAATTTATTAACCTTTATTTAACCAGGAAAATCCCATTGAAATCACAAATATCTTTTGCATGTTAGGCCTGGACCTGAAGGTTGTCTTAACATACGTTTTTGAACTGTGGGAAGAAAACAGAGTACCCGGAGAAAACCCACGCAAACACAAGAACGTTCGAACTTCACACAGAAAGACCCCAGGTCCAAACCAGAGATTGAACCCAGGACTTCTTGCTCTGAGGCAACATTACTAACCACTAAAGGGCTCTGCATACTCCGTCCAAAGCAGCAATATTGTGTCTCATTGATGTAGTTGCATGACAAATATCACATTTTGTTCTCAGAGCAGCTTTGCTCACCCCTTCTTGATACAAGACCTGGGTCAAACTTTTTCTCACACGTATGCTCCAAGTGCTATGTGTTTGGTCAGACGTTTGTCGGCATGTACATCAATGCAGAAGTGTGTCTGGACTTTCAGTTGTATGATTCCAAACACACTAAATTAGTCAAATGACTA